TATATATCAAGAAGCTGTATTTTCTGGGATTTTTCATGATGTGAAAATTACCAGCATTTTTGTGCATACACAAGAAGACTAATTTACTGTGAACATATGCAAAAGAATGGTTTGTAACTTTATGACTGAATAAAAGTAAATGCATTTGGAATATTATTTCATCATACCTGATAGGTTTAAGTTCATTTTTTTCTCCAAAATTCAAGACTTTGCCATTCCATTTAAATAATAAAGATTTATTTCTTATACAGCCAAATTTACGAGTTTAGATTGTCTCCCTATTCTATGAAGAAGTGCTGTTACTTCTCTTGGTACACATTATGGAAACAGTCACCAAAATGTTGTTTTTCTTCATTTCTGCCTTTTTTTTTCTTTTGTTTTTGTTTTTGTTTATTTCACTTTATTTTAAAAGTAAGTGGGAAAACTTTTGAAAGGTTTTAAGATTTTGGGAGAGAGACCTCTTTAGCAAGCCTTACCCTGCAAGAAATTATTATTTATTTTGTTCAAGATAAGGGCAAGTTTTAAACTGATCTCCACCCTTCCGTATGGAGGTGACATTTCAGATGGTACAGGACTTTCTTCTTCAGGAGAAAATGGTACAGTGAGATGGCAGAAACTGGAAACTGAAGTTAAAAAATTTATCACAGGTGAAGAAACTGACAAGTGAAACAAGCTGATCTAAAGGCTTGTGAGTTTTCCACATTTTAACATCTCAATTTGATCCTAAATTCCTGCTCTGGCTGAGTGAAAAACTTGCTGCAGGGATTATCAGTAATTCTCTATGGCTTATGTTAAGAAGGGACTCAAATTAGCTGGAACATAACCACTCCTTCTGTTCTTAAAATCTGTGAATCACCCAAAAACTTTTTTATCAAACCCACAGAAGATAAGAGTGAAGACTGCAAATATTTCTGAAGGGGGAAAAAAAAGAAGCAAATAATCCCTCTAAAAAACCCCACATATTTATATGAGGATTTCAGCACTAACTTGAAAATATAAAGTATGGCTGAACTGTCAAGTTACTTCTAGACAGAAAAAAAAACTGCTAAAAACCTGTAATGCCAGTAGCATTTCTGGCACATCCCTCTTTAAGTGCTGCTTTGTGCCATGTCAGCCTCTCTCCTGCCTTATTCACCCATCAACCTAATTTCTCACTCTTGCACTTCTTTTATCACTTTCCTTATCATTCTGTTCTTTAGGGTTTGCTTTTTTCTTTTGACACTATCAGGCCCAGCTACAAGTGGCACTTCTCCCTGGCACTTCAAGGCAATTGCATATCCTTTCCCTGTGCACAAAGCACAGGCAGTCAGGAGCAGAGTGGAGTCAGCAGGGATGGAGCAACCTAAGCCCCTGCTACCACCAAGCACCCTATCACATGCTGGACCCTGCAGCCAAATTAATGAGCAGAGTGCCTTCTTCAGGAGCAATCCCGTGCAGTCTTTGCTGCACTCTAGCAGTTCCTGCATTTTATGAGTGAAACTGTGGAAAAAACATGTAGGAATAAAATCAGCAAAGTGGGCAAGCAAGGAAAGCATGAAGCAGATACCAACATGAGAAAAGCTCCTGCAGAAATGTGCTAAATGTGAAACCCTCAATGGTTTTTTATGAGATACAGGGGCCGTAATGCTCATTTGAAAAGTAAGGAGTCGGGATAAGATTTGTTGGAAAAAGTTTGGTTTGCTGACAGACCTGATTGTGTTGGCCTAACTCCCCTCAGTGACTTCAGCAGGCTTGTGCAGTGAGGGAGAGCAGGACAGAGCTGCAGATATGTCTGTCATTTGTTTTGCATGCAGAGGGTTTTCCCAGGCAGCTGTGCACCCCAATCCATTTGGTTGCCCACAGCTGCAGGTTTATTCTTAGTTTCAGGAATGTGAAACCTTGTGGACATGGTAATGGCTTCGTGTCAGCAAGGAGACAGGTTTTCCCCTCAAAATAGTTCTCTTTGTGGACAGGTCAGTTTCCAGATTAAGTGGATAAGGGTATGTGGTCACATCTGATTCCTGAACCATGTTAGTCACTTGAGGTATCAAAATGACTTGCCTGGATTAGATTGTTCTTGCTAGTCCTGTTACATGTAACTACATGCAGTGCAGTGTGTTTTCATTAAAAACCCTTAAAAACTCTAGGCATGGGAGTGAAGCATAAGATAGAGCCAAGCCCCTTCTGCTCTGCAACCCTGTGAAGAAAAGTGAGAGGACAAATACTGCAGGCCGGGCTGGCTGGGTGGGTGCTGTCCCACAAACTGGCAGAGCGCTGTGTCCCAGCCCAGAGGCCACGGTGAGAACTGGTGCTCATGATGCCATGTGGGCACACAGTGGTACATCAAGAAGCCAAGCTGATGTACTGTGTAACTTTATAAGACTTGATCTTTGTAAGATCTGCTGCTTGCCAGAGCAGGTATTGGCTCCTTCGCTAAGCCAAAGCTGTCCAAATAAACTCAGGAAAACACAAGGACAATAAAAATATCACACATTTCTCCATCAACTAGGAGGGAAAAGCAAGTTTCTTTGACACATCTACTACAGAAAATTCAGCATATTCTAGAAAACTTCTTCCAGACATTCCAGTGCATGGACATCTCTGAGAACAAGATGCACCCAAAATTATCTGGCTGTTACCTGGGAAGGAGTTCAGGTCCTAATGTAGTAAATGAACAAGAACATAATTCAAGTAAGAACACCAAGGTTTCTATTTCTTCCAAAAGTTGATGGATTATAGTTTGCACATTTAGCCTTTAATATTTATTGCAATGATTCTGAATATCCTGAGTGCTGCTGAACATCCTCCTATCCAATCTCCTTCCTTTCGACATTTGTCTCTTTAATATGTGAAAACTTTTATCCTTTCTACCTACTAAGCCCTGCTTAGTCAAGCTATTCAGCTAAGTCACTACTAAAAATTCTCTTCTATTTTTAACCTTCAATATTCTTCAGATTTCTTTAATCATTACAAGCTTGAGTTTGTGCCTTGTGACAACATCTCATTAAAGTGGTCTTTCTACTCAGATCCTAATGTAGTACAACCAGCCACTGCTCAGTTGAAGTCATGAAGGGACACTGATTTAGGAGATTTGTCTCTTCATTACCTTAATTTCTGTTAACCAACCCTTTGGAGAAAATGAGAATAGGAAAGGTGAAAAAATCATATGGGAATAAGACAAAATATATTATGAAGATAAACAGGTTTTCTACTTCGCTAAACTCAAGTACCTTGCTCAAAAGACAATCCCTGGGGAAATTTGGATAAGTCAATAGTGTTCAACCAGTTTCTAAACAAGTTGTAATATATGATAAATTTCTGTAACAAGTGAGCAAATTTGCACCAATCAATGATGCTATAAACAAGAATCTAGTGTTTTGAAGAACGTATGCAAACTTCTTTTTGCTTAGGTGCCAAAATTTGGCCAACTTTTGCATGTTAGAGCAAGCACTCAATCTTCCCAAGTAACATGGCTGAAAACATGTGTCCTTTTTGAGATGCAAGGCCACTGTAATTTCAAAGAGCAGCAGAGCTCCATACAAGATATTTGCTCCGTGATCTTTGAAGAGTTGAACACATCTTCTGTCAGAAGACAACAGACAACTCATTTGCCCATGAATCTGACAGTGTGTAATATTGTTAGTAGACTTTTTGCCAAGAATGCTAGCAATAAATTGAATGTAATGAAATGGAAAGTCAAACATCTTAGGAATGATTTATATAAAGATAAGTCTGTTCTTTGAGGAAGGACAACAAACTGGTTTCTCAGACCAGTCTGACAGTGTCCATATCAAAAATGAAATAATCTAAGCCAAGCAAAGCATAATACTGCCAGGGTTCCAAAGGATAAGGAGAAAAGTAATAATTCATGGAAGTCCTAACAAAACAAGCAAAACAAGCAAATCAATCCGTACACATATGGTGCCTTCCACTATTTCATATATAGTACCTCCACAGTATCCAGTAATATAGTGACAATGGACAATGCAAACAAGAAATTTAGGGTGATAAAACTGTGTCTCCCTTGAAGTCAAAGCAAAACTTTGTCATTTTCAGAATCAGGATTTCATCCTTGAGTGGTTTATTTTCAAGTACTGACAGCGAGGAGGTGACTGGCTTTCAGCACTCAGCCTCCTTAATTGTCTGTTCTTAAAAATCTTATCAGATTTAAAGAGATTTGACACCTAGCTTCACTGACTTCTTGTCTATTTCAGAAACCTCCTAACAATAATAACTAAAATAAATAACTGTGTTTGTTTTCACCATTGAAGGACTGTCTAAAAACATTCTTTCTTCCATATCCACCCTCTGTCCACCCTGCACTAGCATTCTTTCATTGCTCATTCTGGTCAGGGTTAATGTGAGCACTATTTCTTCTTCTTTCCCCTTCACTGCCTCAGTTCAAGCTGAAAGTGACTGTTTCTTCTAGTAGATAAAACAGCAAAGAGCTTTTATTGCTTCACTCAGGTATGTCACTTGGAAAAAGAAGAGGTATTGTCCAGGATACACAATACATTCAAGACCTCCTTTACACTCAACACTACTCTTTAAATCCCTTTAGGGATATAGGCAAACATATACCCTTAAAAAAGGCAGAAAAAAATGTTTCCTAGTGTTTGCAGCCTTTCAGAGGAAAGCCTGTCAAAATTCAAGGGATTCTGTCACCATTAATGATGGAATCCCGGAAGACAAGAATGGGGATTAGCCTGATAAAACATCTACCTGTGTCAACAGAGAAACAAGCTCCATCAGACACTGATCCAGGCAACTCAACATCTGTGCTCCACCACCACCACCACCATCACCACCTCCCCCACTGACAGCTGAGTGTGCTTGCAATGCGTGTCTGCTTCTCCTCAACACCAGTCAAAAGACTGCAGAGATCAGTGCTAGTGTGGCTCCCTGACAGCTCTGTCTAAGGATTCTGCACCAAAAGCATGTACAATGCTATAAATGCTTTACTCTCCCTCGCTGCAAATAGATAAAGATTTTATTTCTCCCAAGAAGACAATCTTACTTACTTGGGATAGCGTCTCTGCTGAAAGATGGGCAGAATCTCTGTATCTTGATTTGAATGCAGAAGCAGTAAATCCCGAAATCTTTCTGTCAGGACAAAGAAAAAAAAAGAAGAAAAGAAAAAAAAACAAACCCAGACTGTGACTCTGCATTATATGTTCAGGCCACGAGTAAGCAAGCAGTAATATCAGTGAATTCTCTTCTCCAGAAATATTTAGAAGAGGACAAAACTAAGCATGGAGGGACTAAAAACCACTGTTTTCCTGTAAAACCTAATATTTTAAAATGCCTTTTTTTTTTTCATTCAATACTGAATTCTAGTAGTGCCTATAAGCTTCTAAGGTCAGCACAGAGGTCTTCTGACTATCACGCACAGCCAGCCATAAAAAGTCCCTGCCTTGAAGAGCCTAGTCTAAACAGAAAGGAGGAGCCCCTAAGAATTCACACTCAAGGAACACAGTAGTCAAAACAAAACACAGATTAATTAATTCATATAAATTAAACTCCAGTACAAATCCTTTGGTAACAGGCTCAATGTTTTAAGGATGGTTGGAAAAATGGATTTCTTTTTTGTCATAATTATCTATTTCAAAAACTGCATGATTGGGTTTTCTGCAGGAGCTAAAGCTTTTGTAACTTATTTTCACTGACCATCAAATGAAGGGGTGGTTGTAGTTAGCCTTTCTCTTATGCTTTTCTCTTGAGGTGGTTAGACACAGTAAGTCAAGTGGGATCTGAAGGACCTTCTATCAGTCCAGATTTCTCAGTCATGAAAGATAGAAACCTCCTTAAAATTCACATGATATTAAGATTCAGGGATAGAATGGGATTTCCCACCCAGATCAAATTCCTTTAGTAGCTCTCCATAGCATGGGATGTGCTCTGTTTCCTTCTTTCCTTCCGTCACCTGCAAGTTTAATCTGTCCTACAGTGGCACAGAAGTGATGCCCTTTCCACCTCCTACCCTTCCTTCAATACTTTATAACTGTGGCTGAAAGTCTTCAGCTACAGGTATTATGCTTCCTTTGCTAAACCACAGTTTGTAGCCTTTGGTGTGTGTGGCAGCTGTACCATGGATTTCTCCAAACTAACTCTCTTCCATGAAAGTTTTCATTCTGGAAACTGAACCTGAGGGTAAGTGTAGTCCTCCTCCTCCTCTCAAGATTCCTATGTATCTTAAAATATTCTCTAACACCAAGTTTATGAATAAGAAAATTACAAGACAAAAAACCATTTAGTTTTATGCAATATTCTGCATCAAAAGTTATCTCCATTAATTTGGATACAATTCTGCTATGTAGCCTCTAAAGTGGAAAGAAACCCATCCGAACCATACTTCATAAAGTTGTAATACCTTGAAAAAAGCACAGTTAATTCAGAAGGAAAACTCTCTTGTTAAGGCCTCAGTTTTAAAGGTCAGCTATCTCACACCTGAGTCTTTTCTCAGCTGGCTAAGATGTATTGCAAACATTTTGGATAAGATACCAGGATCTGCCAGTGAAGAAAGAAGGGCTTATCTTTGTTCCTTTATTTGTACACCTCTTCATATTCAATTCTGAAAGAAATAAGCACTCCTACCTCCAAAATTCTTCTCAAATCTTCAAAATGTAAATTAGACTTCCTGTACCTAACTGGAACAAAGAGCAGATGTGGCCAACAAAACAAATTCAATAAATGCAATACTGTAAAGATGGAAGTTAACTCCAATGAGTACCTTTCAGGAAACAGACTGCTCACTGTATTGAGGAAAAGCTTGCCACTACACTACTTCTTGACCTCTGCTTGAAATTTTAGGAAGATGGAGAAATTTGCTTTTCTTTCAGTCTTCTCGTACATGGCAATAGGATGTACACACACATGCCCTATCATCCTTAAAGATGATACATTACCATCTTCAAAAGCCAATGGACAAGAACTGAAAGGCTACAGAAGTTTTCACCAATGCAAAATATCCCCTCATATTTCAGAGCCAGCACATTAACTTCCACTTCAGTAATCTCCCCACACAACCCAAGCTACCGATGCATTTCCAGGTGTCCTTTACAAAAGCCTCCATTCAAACAACAGCCTTTGTGTGTGCCTGATGGAGAAATGGGAGGAAGTTTACCATGGCAAACACTGAGTGACAGCACTTCTTTCCATGACTTGAGGATTTTGATCTCTAGAATGCGGTGCAAGACACCACGATTAAGGATCTGTCTTTGCGGTGGCATGGCTGATTTACTTCTGAGGGCCTGTAACCAGGTGTGACAGCAATGTCAAACACAGAGAGACATGCTCTTACTCAGTTCAATGCTGCACAACACCACATTACAGGTAGGTGAGTGAAGCTGATTTGACAGATCTTGGTAAGGATCTGTGACTCTCAGTGAGAGACAAAACACATCTCAGTGAGTGTGCAGATGTGTCGCACCCATTGTTCTGTCTGAGATGGATATCATCCAGGCAGAGTGCCATATTCCATCTCTATCTCCTACTCTGTGCCATATTCCATCTCTATCTCCTACTCTGTGACTTATTCTTGTGCTGCTGCCCTTTCACATTGATCAAGGCCACCTGGCTGCACTCCAGGACTCAATTCAGCAAGCAGCGATCTTGAAAATATTTTGAATAGTAATGTGACAGGGCTGGCCAGTACTGGAGCAAAAGCAGCCAAGTTACGGCATCTGAAATTGGCCTGAACAGTATTCCTACTAGATCTTGTTTTAGCTAAAGTCAACTTTTTTATTCCCCCCACGCTATGGCAAATTTCCCAGGCAGATGTATTTTCTTTTCACCATATGACTTTACTCATTTTTCCATGTGGCGTGGTTTAACCTCAGACAGCAACCAAGCCTCACACAGCTGCTTGCTCACTCCCCACCATGGTGGGATGGGGGAGAGAATGAGAGGAGTAAAAGGAAGAAAACTCATAGGTTGAGACAAAGACAGTTTATTAGGACAGACAAGGGAAGAAATTATAATCATGGTGATAATAATAAAAATAATTAGAATATACAAAACAAGTGATGTACAATGCAATTGGCTCACACTTGCCAACCAATGCCCAGCCAGTTCCTGAGCAGTGGCTCCTGGCCAGCTTTCCTCACAGTTTATGCACTGAACACGATGCCATATTTTACAGAATATCCCTATGATCAGCTGGGGTCAGCTGATCTGGCAGTGTCCCTCCCAACTCCTTATGCCTTCCAACTTTCTCACTGGCAGGGCATGTAAAGATGAAAAGTCCCTGTCTTAGCATAAAGACTGCTTGGCAACAACTAAAATACCAATGTGTGATCAACATTATTCTCATCCTAAATCCAAAACACAGCACTGTACCAACTATTAGTATGAAAATTTACTCTGTTCAAGCTGAAACCAGAACACCACAGAAACACTTACACTACATGGTAATGTTGCACCTCATCTCAAATCTATTATACAGCTTCTCCCAGCACATTAACCTCCATGTCCTGTGCATGCAGGAGTCTTTAGGACTGAATTGTCCCATGGGACCATTGTGTACACATGTCACTTTTCAGCTCTATGACATGCTCCTATTACACCAATATGTGCCTAGTACCAAAGTCACTCTAGACAAATGACACTATTGCCTTTAAGACCATCCAACAAGGTGATGAGGGAGGTGACATGGTAGCTACTGACAGCACAGGTACTTCTGGTGCTCTTACAAAAGGAAATATCTGAAGACTGATGCTTTACAAGAGAAGGCATTTCAATTCACAAGAAAAAAAGCCACAACAATAGCTTCCCAAAGGGGGAAGAATTTTTAAAGAAACCTAAGACATTGTTCTAATTCATACTACAACAACAAATGAAAGACTTGAGAACTAATGAAACCAATAATTAGAACATTTTTACATTATTTTGAGTTGCAATCAGTAGTTGACCAATAGAACTAAAACAAGTCACAGTCTTTTCATTACTTGGATAATTTTAGAGCGGTATCTTCCATAATTGAGTCCTTTTTCCTGTGATGCTTTTGTCTAGGTGTTGGTCTGATTCATTAAAATAAAAAAGAATAACATTTACTTAGCCAAGGTTGCTTACTTCTGAAAACTGGCAATTACCTTTTCTGTTCCTCATTCTATTCATGCAATTTGCATGAGTTAAAGTCTGTACTAGCGACAGTATTGTTCACAGATTGTTCTAAGATGAGCTATACCACCGATTGTTTTGTTGATCTGCTGTGTGTGACACTGCAGCCTGTCTCACTGATGCTCCCATAAGTCTGCCTATAGGACAAAGTTCTCAAAGACATCAAGAAAGGTTGCACAGTCACATCTTATGCTCAAATTTATGTTATGTTTTCAATATGATGAGTGCCTCAACTTCCTCCTAGCTTTTATTTTGAGTGTACAGTTCTTTCCAAATTCTTCATCACTGAGAAGTCCTCAGTTAAATTTAGGCAGTCTCATTGAGACTATACATGTCTAGCTAAACATATAGTATAATTAGTTACCTGTGATGACTGCAGACTGGTTGCAATAACACAGTCTTATGCCCTGTCCTCCTAAATCAGGAAGACTGCAGACTTTAAAGAAAAGAAAGTTTGCCATTGAAATCTTTATGGATTTAACCTATCCTATATATTTATTTCTTCCCTGTCTTTTATCTAAGTTTTCTTCTCTCTGTTCTACCTTTTGCTCCTCCTCTCCCTCCCAGCATAACATATTCACAAGTCAGCTACTGGAACCTCAGTTATAAATACCCTTACCATCTTTATGGTAATACATGTTAACGCCAAGCCAGTTAATCTACAAGGACAGAAGGATGCATTTCAAGAGAAATTTTCCCTTTAAAATATTTAGATTAATGCCATATTTGTTCTCAAACAGAATGGGGTTGTGCTCAGTATGGTGAGTTGACAGTAATGTCAGAAAAATAAGAGCAAGAATGGGCATATGGTCTGAAGGTCACTCAAACTGGTTACACAGTCAAGTTTCGTCCTTCCAGGATACGCTATTACAGAAATGGAAAGAGAAACAAAGGAAATTTCTGCAGTATTTTAATATTTGGGGCTTCTCACAGTGGAGAAAAATAATTTCTATAGAAGGTCCCTGTGAGTTAAAACACATTATTAT